TACTAAGTAGCATAAAGTTAATGATTAATGAATAATACTTATTAGCTTAAAGGAATTGGGTAAAATCCATTTTAATATTAACTCAGAATTGATTGTAACCGGCATTTAATATTTTGTGACTAGCAACATCGATATCGAATAAGGTTCCGTACTCTGTACTAGATTGCTACATATTTATTATTCTGTGGTCCCTACTACGTAAGCTGAGCATAGTTATTATATACTATAAATTAGTCTGTGACGTCCATAGCTGCAAGTTACACAAATATCCATTAATAAGTAGGTACTCACTATGTGACTTGATATTATTCCATATTATTCTAAGCACAGTTAGGACACAAACTATTATATGACGTGCAGCAATAGGAAGATATATTGAAATTGAATAAGAAAATATATTAATCTTTGTTTTATAACGATAGACAGTGCAAGATACATCCACCTAGTCCTTTTTTTCCATTATATTACTTGGCTATAACGGGTTTGACACTTGTTTAGTTTTAACGGTAACATATTTACATAACTCCCAATTTATTGAAGTGGTACTTTGTTAAACTGCATAACATGATTCATTACACCGTTTTGTTATTTTATCGAAATATTTTCCGATAGGAATCGTCAGCAAACAGATTTGGTCAACAATTTTACTTATAGGGTACTTTGCAAACACTATTTAGATATACAATAAAGATATTAATTTAGTTTTGTAAAGATACGGTGCGAAATGAAATGCCGTAACCCTATTCGTTACTAAATAAATGACGCAATGACCCTTCGATGAGATTTAAACAATTCAATCCCAATCAATCGCCGACAAAGACGGCGTATAATTATGTAACGGCGCAATAAACAATGGACTATTTAATGTTGAATAAACAAGTAATATAAATACTCTATTTCACTTAGGCTGTCGTGTTCAAGACATCCGTCTTTTACTTCTCTTTTTTTTATTTTTTTATTTTATGCCGTTTTAATTTTATTGCTGACCAATATCCGTAACTGGTTTAAAATTATGATCAAAAATTTTACTTACTGCGCTTTTACTCGTCGCCAATGTGGTGTCCACTAATTTAAGTGTAGGATTTTAGTAAAACAACTATATCAGTAAGTAGGTACACAGCACAACGACAACGTCCACTCGCCACCGATGACGGATCGGCAATGCGAGTGAGGCGCTAGGAGTGGTCGTTACAAAACGTAACTAGTTACTGAAACTATCTATTCACACAATAGCGGGTAGCGGGTTATTGCAGTGCAACGAAACTATCTATTACAGTAGACGTTTTACTCAGTAACACGATTCATGTTTCACGAATCACGAACGAGCGATCGGCGTACGATCGGCGGCGAAAACGTTTATTCGGCTATTTTCGCGACGCATCGGCAACGGCCTCGTCTGTTGAAGTAGAAGCACATGAGTAAAGAAACTGACTCTTTCCGCTGTGGTAGAAGTACCACCGGTCGTCGAATGTCGAGTGAGCGCGGGTGCTTTTGCATTTGACCTATGACTCTATTCCCTTCGTATAGATGCGATATTAGAAATGAGAAGTAAGTGTGAAAAAAAATTGTTCAAATTCCATAATTTAAGTGACCTTGGCCCGGTTTAAATTAGTCTTGTATTTAAGTTTAATGACACGGTTTGTTTTTACTTTTTAGGCGCGTTTGTTAATATTTTTGTTTTCTTTTTTGTGCAATAATAATAATATTTTTAGTAAAATAAGAACTAAATACAATTGTATATATTAGGGTTAATAATAATAATTGTACAGTAATTAGTGTAATTAACTAAGTGTAAAAATAATACTAAAACTTTATGTGATAGTCATCAAAAATATCTCGAAGTAATGCCAGTGTACTTTGGGACTTTTTTACAAAAGATACTACAACCATGAAGACCAATATTCTATAAAAACATCAATACATGTATTAATTTGATTTATTACATAAAAATGTAGGCTTGAGATGTCTAAAAATAAGCATTGTAATAATTATTTGCTATAAAATCAAACTTATATTCAATATTTTATGCTGAACTTGTGGGTGAATTTATCATAATCATAATTATTAAATAAATCGTTTGCCGTTAAATATTTTCAAGTGATATTTTTATCAAACCGTGCGAAATGATTAAACAAATAAATAAATTTAACCGTTAACACCATGTCTAATTCTATACAAAACGGTAACAAACAAGTTTTCTCGTGAAACAGACATCGTTTAATTCGCAACGTTTTTCAAATAAACACGTCGTGAAACACTATTGAAGCCGCTATTAAAATAGTGTTTCAAAACCCTCTATTAAAATAGAGTGTTTCAAAAGCCGCTATTGATATTCGATAGATAGTTTCGTTTCGTTACTCAAAAAAGCCGCTACTACCCACCGCTATGAGGCGCCACCGTTGGTCTGTGTACTATATTTAATTATACATATATCACAGATATGATATTTGATAACATTACGTTATTAGTTACGTTTTGATATATCGGTCTCATGCCTAATGACCACAGCTTTTATCGCGATAACTTTTGAGTGTTAAAACGTACGATATTTTAAATCCCTAATAATAAAATTAATTGATGTATAATGGAGAATAATAAAATGAATTCGACCACTACTCCATCTGGTTTATTTATTCGGGTCTGGGTTATTGTAGTCGACAATCGGTACTCAATTTTCATTTAATAAATTATTCAAAATTTGGCATACTTATTGAATAAAAGTTTAATTTTAATTAAGTTATTTCATTATTTTGTAAAATACTTCCTTCAGTCAACAAGTTGTCGTTGGCTGTTAATTTACGATAAATTAGTACTAATATCAAGCAGTTTTTAAGAAATTAAAAAGTATTTTTTTTTTCGTTTTGCTTAAACTGGGGAAGTATTGGTGGTGATTTGTTTAACCGTCGATAGATTACTGCTATATTAGATATTCGATTTAAATAATGATTAAAAGTTGATTTTATTCATTATTTATGAAGTCAATTAAACACGCATTATTAAGGATAACTCAAAAACCTCTGGTCAGATCTTGATCAAATTTATAGGAAACCAAACGAGAAGCACCAGTTTTCAAATAAAGAAAGAATCATCAAAATCCGTTCACCCAGGAAAAAGTTAAGCACATAAAAAAATTTGTTTTAACTAAATACCCTTTTGCCTTTAATAAAAAACAAAAACATGTTTTATTTTTATTTTCGCCGAACCAAACGAATCTCTCCGGATTCTTTGAGATCTCCCATTTTCCTTTGTCATTATTTGAACACGCTACCTGCAATCTTCAAAATTTTACTTCAATCTATCGCCATCGTCCTCTAGAACATTCGCTCCCGAGCAGATATCATCTGCAGTACTCAATACTTGCAAATTACGTGTAGCTATACAACGTTCATCGCATCATTAGAAAAAATGCTACCTGTTCCTTCAAGCTATACTTTTTGCGCTACAGTATCCGACACGGCTCTGAGCATTACTGCTCGCCTCTTTTTCACGGCGTTCTAGTAGATTACTTGCTATCTTCTCAATTCACAGCGTACCGAACAAGTAAAACAAATTAAAGCCTAAATGACGGTATCGAAATTTTCAAAGTACTCAGGTGAAATTATAAAAATATTAATAATGTCTTCCAGACCGAATTTCGGTTGCGGCGTCTATTCTCAACGGTAACTGTCCATCGGCGTAAGAAGTGACTATACGGGCACTATAATCCTTTCATGTGTGTGTATAGGTGCACTCTTTATTCCCTCACTCTCATAGTCCGATGGGACTATAAGAGTGAAGGAATAGAGTGACATAAGTCTCAGGTTTTTATATCCGCTGATGTGACGATAGTATCTCAACTTCCCTAAAGTTGAGACATACTCGTCATAAATTGGCCGGTTGGTTAGTGTGTTGTCAAAATATTGTATTTATCGTCAAGAACTTCGTAATGTGATGCATCATATTGTGAAGTTTTTAAACAAAATACAATTTATTATTTGGGGTATCTATATAGTTTTTTCATCTGGTTGGCTTCTATCCTATTAAGACCTTTAAACGAGCAATTCTTGTACATATATAATCGGAATCTTGGAAACGACTCCAACGATTTTCATTAAATTTTGTATGCAGGGAGTTTCGGGGGCAATAAATCGATCTAGCTAGCATTTATTTTTAGAAAATGTCTTTATGTCCGTGTTTTTAGGCAATGAAAAATTGCTACAATATCGTTAGAATAAGAAGGTAAATTTTGACAGTTTATTAATGATTACAAATAGCTTAATTGACATATTAGGCGGTCACAAAATCGTAATACCATGGTTCGAGCCCAGACCGACCGACCAACTTTTTACTTTTTTTTTTCAAGTTCCTTTCTTTTTTGAGAAAATCTATTTTTTGAGCCCTTTTTTTAGTATTTTTTAAAAACACGAATATTTAAATTAAACTAATTGCACTCATGAATTTTTATTCAAATAACCAGTTCAGTTTTTTCTATTATGTCGCTAAGATCAAAAAATATTATTCGTATTTCATCAGTATGTAATTTGTATCTAAATATAATTTCCAAAACACACGTATTAAAAAAATACCGAGCGAAAAATACCGAGCAAAGCTCGGACAACCGAGTACTAAATATATAGTTCTAAATTAAAAAGAAAAGATAATATTTATCTTTTCTTTTTAATTTAGAACAAATTATTATTTATTATTATTATTATATGACCTTTGTCTGCCTTAAATGGCAAATCGTAGCTTATCATTTAAAAACAGACTAAATTACTCCATAGATAAGTAAATATGTTGAAATACTCTTAGTATACTGGTAAATATATACTCTTTGTATTGATGTTTCCGTTCCGATTCCGATTGTTTTTCTGTCACGGCCAGGCGTTGATCGTGATCGGAGCAAGTCAGGAGAGAAAAATATCCTCAAAAATTTTTGCAGTTCAATAAATTTTGCAGTTGTGATCCATTTTCATTTACTTGATTTGTTTGGATTATTGTCGCTATTGCTGGCTGTTGAAATGTCTCGAAAATCAAATGTTGGCAAAAAAACCAACTTGTCTCAAGTGAGTCATTTATTGTTTCTTTGAATATTTGTTTTACTTAAGAATTAGAATGTACCTAGTTGGAATGGAATGTCCAATTAGATTTGATTCAGGTATGACATGTGCATGTGAAGACTTTTTATCATAGTTTTGATAAATTGTGATGTTTTATACTCTCTTTTACTAAAATCAGCTGATTTGGTAGTAAATTGTTTGTTTATCTATCCGTCTAAAGGAGGAATATGAATGGGGTTAATTTTTCTTATCACTATTCACTGGACACTGCATTTGAATCTTTCAGGGGGTCTCATTATCTCATTGCGTATGTATATTATGATAGAATTAAGAAGGTGAAGACAAGTGATAAGTTTATTTGTCTTTAATACTTGGTGTCAACTGTGAATTTTTACACGGTAGTGCTACACTACCGCTGTATGGTTGTAGCTAGAGATTGCAATCCGGATTCTTCAAAATTCATAAATAACTGAAAAATCCAGATTTTCTACAGTTTTATAAATCCGGTTTTTTCAGATTATAGTCAAAATTGAGTTCAATCGATAATATTTTGCATTTATTCACATATTTTCATTCTGAGTAATGTGTAAAGTATTACCTATTCTAACATTCTGCCTTCAGGTCCTTCAAAGAGTCAATGTCAAGGCAAAGTCAGAGCACATGGGCAGAATTGGCGAGAAACTAGCCCGTCTTCTTTCGGGAACACGTACATTCTAGTTTCTCGCCAAGTTTGTCCAAGGGAACTTCTGTCAGCCATCTCTCCCATCTCTGCACAGGGAGGACGACTCACTGGCTCATGTCGCAAAGGACAAATCCGATCTGCTGGGCTCACTCTTTGCGTCCAACTCCAACAAACTCTGCAGACTGCCGCCGTGTTTGGCACTATAGGTCAGCCGATTAGGATGGGATGCGGTCTTTCTTTGCATCCTACCCTTGGGGGCGAGTTTGCTTCTCGCCGGACGATCCCAACGTTGTTGTAGATTCTGTCGCTGATGTGGTACTTCAGGGTATGGAACTTTTTATTCCTTCCTCTGTGGTACCCATTGGAGGTAAATCTCAGCCATGGTTTGGTCGCTCGTGTAAAATAGCATCATGCTATAAGCAGGAGTGCTACCAAGCCTGGGCTGACGCATCAACGTCCCAGGATGTAAACACCAGCGCTCTAAAAAAGAAGTATAATTCCGCCTCTAGGTCCTTCAAAAGAGTAATTGCCAAGGAAAGTCAGAGCACATAGGCAGAATTGGCGAGAAACTAGTTCGCCCTCCTTCTGGAACCCGTTCATTCTGGTCTCTCGCCAAGGCTGTGCAAGGGAATTTCTGTCAGCCATCTCTTCCATCTCTGCACAGGGAGGACGACTCACTGACCCATACCGCAAAGGAGAAAGCCGATGTGCTAGGCTCTTTCTTTGCGTCCAACTCAACTCTCAATGACGGGGGGAGTACGCCACCGACCACCCCGCGGTATGAGTGCTCCATGCCGGAAGTGCAGTTCACACAGCGCTTGGTTCGCAAAGCACTCCTCTCCCTGGAGTGCTTTGCGAATTGTGCTGAGAAAGTGTGCTCCAGAGTTGGCACCGGTTTTAACGCGTCTTTTCCGGTACTCCTACTCCCTAGGCGTAGTCCCAAAATCATGGAAGACGGCTTTCGTCCACCCGATCCCTAAAAAAGGCGACCACTCAGACCCGTCCAACTACCGGCCTATCGCCATCACCTCCTTGTTCTCTAAAATAATGGATTCCATTATTAACAGCCAGCTCATGCGGTACCTTGAGGATCACCAGCTAATTAGTGACCGCCAGTACGGTTTCCGTCGCGGTCGCTCGGCTGGTGATCTTCTGGGTTACCTAACTCATAAATGGGCGGAGGCAGTAGAGTCCAAGGGGGAGGCGTTGGCCGTTAGTTTGGACAAAGCGAAGGCCTTCGATCGGGTTTGACACAAAGTGCTTCTTACAAAGCTTCCTTCCTATGGGCTTCCCGAAATATTGTGCATCAAGCATCAAGGTCATAGTAGACAGTACATGCTCCGATTACAAGCCCATTAATGCTGGTGTTCCACAAGGCTGCGTGTTATCACCAACGCTCTTTCTTCTGCATATCAATGACATGTTGCAAACTGGTAACATTCATTGCTATGCAGATGACAGCACTGGTGATGCTTTATACATGGGCCATGCCAATATTTCTCAGGAAAGCGTCGCAGAGTACCGGGACAAACTTGTTTTTGTCAGAAGTGGAAACTTTGTTGAACAGCCTCAGACTGGGGCGACTAAATCTAATCCAGTTTCATCCCCAGAAGACACAAGTTTGCGCATCTACTCAGTTTCAAGGCACTCCCCTTGTTGCCACAGCCAGTATTGGAATCCTCGGCTTCGACATATTGAATGACGTGCAGTTTCGTGGTCACTTAGAAGAGAAGGCCAAATTGGTCTCTAAAAAGCTTGGCGTGCTCAGCAGAGCGGGACTGTATTTCATGCCGGCTCACCGCTTGCAACTTTACAAGGCGCATGTTCGGTCACACATGGAATACTGTTCCCATCTCTGGGTCGGGGCTTTCCAGTGCCAGCTCCTTCCATTTGATCGCATCCAGCGCAGGGCTGTTCAAATTGTCGGCGACCAAGCTCTTTCCGATCGGCTTGACTCACTGGCATTGCAAAGAGATGTTGCATCTCTTTGCATATTTTATCGCATCAACCACGGGGAGTGTTATGATAAATTGTTCGGACTAATTCCAGCCGTACAATTTCACTATCGCACATCGCGATAAAGCTCATGATATCATCCATACCATCTGGATGACTGGCGGTCCACCACTGTGCGATTTAAAAGAAGTTTTCTTCCTCGCACAACTTCCTTGTGGAATCGACTACCACCAGAGATTTTTTCGGACCGATATGACTTAGGGACCTTCAAGAAAAGAGCCTATTCCCTTTCAAAAGGCCAGCAACGCATCTGTAATTCCCCTGGTGTTGCAGTTGCGCATGGGCGGCGGTAATCATTTACCATCCGGTGAGCCTTATGCTATGCTTATTACGTGAGACCAGAATGAACGGGTTCCAGAAGGAGGGCGAACTAGTTTCTCGCCAATTCTGCCTATGTGCTCTGACTTTCCTTGGCAATTACTCTTTTGAAGGACCTAGAGGCGGAATTATACTTCTTTTTTAGAGCGCTGGTGTTTACATCCTGGGACGTTGATGCGTCAGCCCAGGCTTGGTAGCACTCCTGCTTATAGCATGATGCTATTTTACACGAGCGACCAAACCATGGCTGAGATTTACCTCCAATGGGTACCACAGAGGAAGGAATAAAAAGTTCCATACCCTGAAGTACCACATCAGCGACAGAATCTACAACAACGTTGGGATCGTCCGGCGAGAAGCAAACCCGCCCCCAAGGGTAGGATGCAAAGAAAGACCGCATCCCATCCTAATCGGCTGACCTATAGTGCCAAACACGGCGGCAGTCTGCAGAGTTTGTTGGAGTTGGACGCAAAGAGTGAGCCCAGCAGATCGGATTTGTCCTTTGCGACATGAGCCAGTGAGTCGTCCTCCCTGTGCAGAGATGGGAGAGATGGCTGACAGAAGTTCCCTTGGACAAACTTGGCGAGAAACCAGAATGTACGTGTTCCCGAAAGAAGACGGGCTAGTTTCTCGCCAATTCTGCCCATGTGCTCTGACTTTGCCTTGACATTGACTCTTTGAAGGACCTGAAGGCAGAATTGTACTTCTTTTTAAGGGCGCTGGTGTTTGCATCCCAAGACGTCGACGCGCGAGGCCATGCTCGGTAGCACTCCTGTTATGACGTAGTGTAATTTTGCAGGAGCGACCAAACCAAGGCTGGGTTCAGCCTCCGATAGGTACCACAGATGATGGAATAAAAAGTTCCACTCCCTGTAGCACCATATCAGTGACAGAATCAGCATCAACGCTGGGATCATCCTGCGAGAAGCAAACCCACCCCCAAGGGTAGGATGCAAAAAAAGATCGCATCCCGTCCCAGTCTGCTGACCTATAACGCCAAACACGGCGGTAACTTGCAGTACGCTACCGCGACGGAAACCGTAGTGGTGGTCACTAATCAGCTGGTGATCCTCAAGGTACCGCATTAGCTGACTGTTAATAATGGATTCTATTATATTAGAGAACAAGGAGGTGATGGCGATAGACCTATAGTTGGACGGATCAGAGCGGTTACCTTTTTTAGGGATCGGGTGCATGAGGGCTGTCTTCCATGATTTCGGGACTACGCCGAAGGAGTAGGATACCGGAAAAGACGCGTTAAAACCGGTGCGAAATCCGGAGCACACGTCTTAAGCACAATAGGAGGCACGTCATCCGGCCCACTCGACTGGTTGACGTCCAGGGAGAGGAGTGCTCTGCGCACTGAGCTGTTGTGTAAACAGGACATCCTGCATGGAGCACTCCGCGGGATGGTCGGCGGTGTGTTCCCCCCGTCATCAGGAGTGGAGTTGGACGCAAGGAGAGAGCCCAGCAGATCGGCTTTGAGGCATTGGCCAGTGTTGAGAGTCGTCCTCCCTGTACAGTGATGGGAGAGATGGCTTACAGAAATTCCCTTGGACAACCTTGGCGAAGGAAGACGGGAGGGCCTAGTTTCTCGCCAATTCTACCGATGTGCTCTGACTTTGCCTTGATAATGACACTTTTGAAGGACGGTATTTTTTAAGGGCGCTGGTGTTTGCATCCCGAGACGTCGATGCGCGAGCCCAGGCCTGGTAGCACTCCTGCTTATGACGTAGTGCAATTTTGCAGGAGCGCCCAAACCGAGGCTGGGTTCAGCCTCCGATAGATACCACAGATGATGGAATAAAAAGTCCCATTCCCTGTAGCACCACATCAGTGACAGAATCAGCAACAACGCAGGGATCGTCCAGCGAGAAGCAAACCCGCCCCCAAGGGTAGGATGCAAAAAAGATCGCATCCCATCCCAGTCTGCTGACCTATAACGCCAAACACGGTGGCAACATGCAGTACGCAACCGCGATGAGTGCGTGAGTGGCACCGTACTCCGGATCAGACTATGGTCCGAGGAGCCAAGAGGGGCATCGACGGAGACCTGATGTCCGTCTGGATGAGAGGTCAGCAGAAGGTCCAACAGGAAAGGTACATAATCATCCACATCTGGGATCTGCGTGGGCGAGGTAACCAATTGTGTCAAACCATATGTCAAAGCAAAGTCATAAACAGATCTACCCACATGATCAGTTAAATGAGAACCAAGCCATTCAGCGTGGTGGGCCTTAAAATCTCCTAGTACCACGATCTCTGCGGATGGGATTTGTTGTAGCACGGAGGCTGTAGCCATTGGATGGTGTATGGAATGGGACGTATAGAGGCACCCGTAGACGCGGGGATGGTCGTCGCTGTCTACTCGCAGCCATAAGATGAACAGGCATACCTTCAAGACTTCCGAGGCATCGAAAACAGACGTCCTCTCTGACGTATACGCAAACTCCAGCCCGGGGCACAAAGTAGTGTTCTAATTTGTACCCCGGGACATGAAGTATCAACTGGAGAGGACATCTGAGTCTCGGTTAGAAAGAGCATGGAGTCTCAAGATGGTAGTGAACAGCATTAAGCGATGGTTTGAATGAAGTCTCCTGATTTTGCGAAAATTCACGGATAGCGTGAAAGGGTTCGCCTTGGTCTCATCTCTTGCCTGAGCCTGAGCACCCATGGTCAGGAAGAGTAAGGTAGCTTGGGCATGGATGTTTAGTGAGGGATTCACCGTCATCAGGGGTGCTGGTACCCTCCTGGGGTAGTTTTTTATTTGATTCCGCTACCATGTTAAAGAGGGGGGGGGGGATTGGGCCTCCGGCCACCTGCACTTACCAAGCGAAAAGCGCAGAAGTAAACTTCTAATTCACGTTGGTATTCTGTGAGATCATGGTACCACTCCGGTTCGAGCCGGCCCATCCGTTGTATAAGAAATATTTGTAGAACATTGTCTTTACGTCTCACTAACCATTTCGCCAGCGCACGCGGATAAAGCAGATTGGGAGCGGTTTTTCTTCCTACATACTTAACAAAAATTAATATTTAAGACTAGCTGCGAGGTATAGCCAAATGCTTGATAGTCTGTACTATTCTTCATGAATTATCATATACAAAAAGAATTGTTTAAATCGGACTCGTAGTTCCCGATATTGTTGTAACAAAAAAACTTCCGCTTCATTAAATTGAGTATATATAATACAAGGCTGTTAATTTACAGTACGCAAGCAACCTGAGCTTGATCACCACCGACACGTCACCACTGAAATTGTAAATTGTTGTTTTAAATGGTGATTTAGCCCATGCTTGTCGGTGAAAGAAAACATTGTGAGGAAACTTGTGTTTGAAATTTAAAAAAAAAATTAAGCCTAAATGGCTAAAGTCCGCGAACACATATTAAGACTGCAATTTCAATGTAATATTTTATTGTTTCAGTTTGGACTACTAGATATCCCAGATCTGGATGATGGAGATGAGCCTCTTGATTTGTCTGATGATGATGTAGATCTGGAAGCCGAGTTGGCTGCTATAAGCGGGGGAGGTGGAGGACGGAAGAAGCCAAAGAAACCAGCACCATTGCCCGTAACTAATTTAGATGCAATGATTGCTGAGAGTTTAAAAGATATTCCATCTGATGAGGATGAGGGATCAGGTAAATTAGTGAATTTATGTTTGTGTTAGATAAATAATAAGTGAGTAAGTACAACGATTGGCACAGTAGATATTAGGTTAGTTAGGTTGATTTTTAGGCCACATTCATAAACATGCATACACAAAAAACACGCATAAACAAAAAAAAATTAGGAGGGAACCAGTTCCTCATGATTGGAGTCACATTCACGACAACTAGAGTAACAAGGCAGTCAAAATCGAAGTTGGATTAAATCTGAAATGTCAAGAATTTGAAAATAAGTTAATATCAAATGTGATTAAAATCTGTAATATTAGGTTTTACCCAACTTTATAAAAGGAGGTCCTCAGTTGAACGATTTTTGTTGTTGTATGTATGTTATTAATATCTTGGCCAATTGTAAACCAATTTTCCTTTTTATTTTATTTTAATATCTAGAATTCTGCATTACTTTGCAGAAATCCATTTCATTGTAAATGTTATCATGATCTTTAATGATTTTTTTAAATAAAATAGACTATATCTCAAGGGTCTGTTTAGATGACAATCTAGTTATTTCCTTGAGCTTCTTCCTTAGTCCAACACAAAAGGGTTAAAAATTACACTTTAAATCATCATCATCATCATCATTACAGCCCTTCACAAGTCCACTGCTAAGCATAGGCATCTCCCAAGTAATGCCATAAAGCACGGTCCTGAGCCACCTGCATCCATCGACTTCCTGCATGTCTTTACCAGGTCGTCACTCCTTCTAGTTGGGGGTCGCCGTACACGCCGCCTACCGGTACGAGGCTGCCACTCGAGAACCTTTTTTCTCCATTGGTTATCGGTTCTTCGAGCTATATGGCCGGCCCATTGCCACTTCAGCTTACTAATCCGTTGGGCTATGTCGGTCACTTTAGTTCTACTGCGGATATCCTCATTTCTAAGTTTTGTATCGGTAGGCGAAGTGTAGGGCGACCCTTAACTAGATGGACTGACGACCTGGTAAGACATGCAGGAAGTCGATGGATACAAGTGGCTCAGGATGCTTTGTGGCATACCTAGGTGGAGGCCTATGTTCAGCAGTGGACTTGTGAAGGGCTGTAATGATGATTATATATATATATATATATATATATATATATATATATATATATATATATATATTATGATAGTAATTTCTGCACAATAGCTTCTCAACAAGGTTATACCTACCAAGCTATTTCTAATTTGTATTATGTTGTTAATTGTGTAACATACAAAATGATTGTATACTGTTCTTTTTTTTTAAATAGTCACACTGGGTTTCTTGCTGGTTTTTCCCAGGACAGAGGTATTTTCCGAACCAGTAGTAAATGAAACATAAGAGTTACTTTCAATAAGTATTATTTATAATCTATATTGAATAAAAAATTCAATGCACATAGTATTCTCTCCTTAGCACGAACTTTAGATTTTTTAAATAATTTTATTTTTTTTTAGTTCTTTTGGTGAAGTCGATTTTTTATTTTTATTTAAACTTTCATTTTATTGTATGTGTAGTATTAGCTTAAATATAAAAAAAAACATTGAGTAATAGATGAGTTAAAAGAACTGTGACATTAGCATAAAACTACTTCACAATAATTGAGGATACTCTACTTTATACAAGGTAATATTGATTAATCTTGAACATAATACTTCAGTTAAACTTAGGGCTGCCATCTTATTGTTGGGTTAAAGTAACCATTGTGCGGTGCAGTTTCATTTATAATTATGTTCATATATTTTTAATTTTTAAACCTTTCTTAAGTATGCGAGGTTTCTAATTGTATGAAATTTATGTTAAAATTATTTGTGTAAATATGTAACTGATGTTGCCTGTATAATAATGTTCTCCGGACCGAATTTCGGCCATGGTGATTATTCTCAACTGTAAGCAGCCATCTGCGCAGGATAGGATTATAGTGCACCAGTGTGTGTGTAAGCACAGTTGTACTCTCTATACTCTCACTCTCATAACTAATAGGGCTACAATTAGACACGACGAAGGAGAGATCAGGTTCTGGACAAACAGGTTAACATATTTTCCGTGGCACGTAGGTGAAATACCACCAACTTCCTAATTCTGGGCTACTACTAATAATTTCTTGACTAATAAGCCCAATAACTAATTTTAGCCCAACCTGCAATTCAAACCCGGGACCGCATTTTAAGCAGTTGCGTTTATGACTACTATTATATAGTATTGTCTATGTGGTGATGGTCTCATTAATGTACATATAATAAGTCCACTGTAACCATGTAAAGCCGTTGGTCCTGCGCCTGATCTCTCTCCGGTTGTGTCAGTTTACCTTCCCATCGGACCATGAGAGCGAGGGAACAGAGAGTGCACCTGTGCTTGCGCATACACTTGGGTACTATAATCCTGTCCTGTGCCGATGGCTAGTCTCCATTGAAGCTGGCCACCGTGACCGAAATTCGGTCTGGAGAACATTATTAAGTCTTTACCTTAGCAGACTTATAAAAAAATTGCAATCGAAATTTAATTACTACAAAGTGGCAAAATGTGGTGGTTAAATACTTTTTTAAAGCACCCGAAACGTCGGGAATTAAAAAGTTAAAATAAATTAATGTGATAACATCCGTAAAATTAGTTTCATTTAATGTGTAGTGTTCGCGTAAATATAAGAAGTCATTATGATTCACGCTAAGCTTGTTGTTCATTTAAGTTCAGACGTTACCACAAAGTGAGAATCGATCTTCATTTGAATAATGCTATGCTTCTGCAGAGTGTAGGCCTGAGAAGACATACAAGTGACTATATTTGCATGTATACGTGATTTACTGTATAATGTCCTACACTCTTGACCCAGGAGAGACCATGCTCTCACAGAATACCATAAAATATCTGTTTAATGCCGCTGTGTTTCGTATAGCGAGTGTAGAGAACCTGAGACCCTTTTTGCTGAAAATGAGGCATTCCTCAAGGGTGACAATGGATCTGAATTTTGAGTCTTAGTTGATGTCTATGGGCCCAAAATCTACCTACCATCAGGTGAACTGTGTGCTCTTTTGTCGCCCTTATTTTATAAAAAAGTTTTTAGAGTTGGCACCCGCAGTAACGCAGCTGTAGTTAAGAAGTTGCTTTCCACCTCTTCTACGGTATAAAACTATAGGGTAATGAGTATTCTTATGTCGCCACTATACAAAAAAATGTTCAAAGAAATTATTGGTACCATTTGCAGATTAACCAAATAGACAGTGACTAAAATTTATTACCCATAGTTTCGTTAATTTAAATTATTTTATTGCAGGGGATGATGATGACCCAGAGTTACTTGGTGAACTAAGAGAATTGGCTGATGAAGATGAGCCGCCTTCTCCTCCGCGTACTTCTCGTCCCGCGCCACCTCCCCCCGGCGGTACAGATAGCAGCATGATTAGTTTACTGCAAGACAGAATTTCAAATTACTCTCTTGCCGAGAAAAACGCAAAACAAAGCGGGGAGAGTAGCCGTGCTAGAAGGTAGGGTTATTTAATATTATACATTTCACAAATAAAAATTATTATATTAAATTTATTTTAACTAACATTGAGTATATATCCGAATAGTCTACTTCTGTGATATTTACATTACTTGAAATGTTTTTTGCTTTAATAATATTCCCGGTAGTGGTCCACGACAGTAATTGAATGATTCGCATTCGGATTCGGCGCATTCGGACCCACGACCTTTAGGGCCGATCCTTATTATAATGCCGTTCACAGTTCGTTCTCGGTCTAATCTTGGTATGATAAAATATTATCAAGTAAATAATATGTGTGTGAAAAAATATGTAGTATGAATGCTATCCGTAACAGTCAAGTTTCGCTCGAATCCCATTCCATGTATAATAAATCAGATCGGGATCGGACCAAGAAAGAACTGTGAATGGCAAATGAGGATCGGCCCTTAGAGTAGGCGGTCCCCACCCTGCCATTAGGCTACTGTTGCTTATGTTATGATGTTATGTTATGGTTATGCTGTGATGTTAGTAATGTTTAAATTTCTCAAAATTTCCTACAAATACTTCTGCATTTACACACCTATATTGTAGAAATATTTTTAGTTTAATATTTAAAACTACAGATACAAATTTTGTGATAAATTGGCTTGTTGATTGTAATGTTATTTTGTTTTACATCGTCATCATTATAATGGCCCATCAAAAGTCTACCACTTAAAATAGACTCATTATCATCAATAGTTGGTCTCATTGGTGAAATATTTGCCATACTTTCGCTTCTTGGCGGGCGCATTGACAACTGCAGTGTTTTGTTATTATTTTTGAAGTGTTATGAGAAAGATGCTGCAGCTCTTCAGGTCTTTTATACGTGGTAGAGCCATGCTGCAGTTATATTAATGTATTGTAGCACGAATGGGTCGGCTCGACCGGGGCAGGACCACGCTCTCACAGAATACTAGCGTAAAATAGTAGCTTACCTAATGCTGTTGTGATTTCTTATATTTACGCGAACACTACACATTGAAATAATACTAGTTTTTACGGAATTTATCGCGTATATTTAACTTTTTAAATACCCGACGTTTCGAGAGCTTTACAGCACCCATGGTCACGGGAAGGACTGAGATGTTCAACGTCCAGCTGTCATAGTTAACCGCGGTTACCATAGATTAAAATTTAACTTTTGTTCCGATCTACACAGTATGAACTTATGGTATCATGGAGTCTTGCAATTGTATGCTTGGGTTGGGATTTAATTTTATTTATTGTAGGATCCCAAGCAGATGGTAGCACCCAGCCATCTTCTCTATTGAAATTAGGATGTTTTTTGATTTCAACAGCCTCGCGAATCATCCTTGGAAGGAATCGGTGTTCTTTAGCGAGGATTTGTGGTCTATCAAATCTGATGTAGTGACGGGGGCGATCCTGTACGTGTTCACAGACTGCAGACTTCCCGGAGCGTCGATTCTTCACATCAGCTATATGTTCTTTGACGCGGGTTTTAATTGATCTTTTAGTTTGTCCTATGTAGGAGAGACCACATTCACAATCAAGCTTGTACACTCCTGCATCTTGCAGAGGGACGTTACACTTGACTGATGGTAAAAACTGACCAATCTTCTTCGGCGGCTTGAAGTATGTTTTGATGGAAGCGCGCTTCAAGATGTAGCCAATCTTGTCAGTGACTCCTTTAACTTATGGCAGTACAGCAGGTACACGCTCGACTGTGGCCGGCTTCACTCGTTCTCTGTGACGTAGGCGCGGGACCCGAAGCTTGTTGTCATGCAAAACTTGCTTGACATGTTGGAGCTCGGCAGCCAGGTGTTTACTGTCACAGATCCCTCGTGCTCTCTGCGTGCGTTTCAGAGAAGAAGCGCACGCAGGGCCGAAGAAGATTGGTCAGTTTTTACCATCAGTCAAGTGTAACGTCCCTCTACCCAAAACCCCCCTAAAACCCGCGTCAAAGAACATATAGCTGATGTGAAGAATCGACGCTCCGGGAAGTCTGCAGTCTGTGAACATGTACAGGATCGCCCCTGTCACTACATCAGATTTGATAGACCACAAATCCTTGCTAAAGAACACCGATTCCTTCCAAGGATGATTCGCGAGGCTATTGAAATCAAAAAACATCCTAATTTCAATAGAGAAGATGGCTGGGTGCTACCATCTGCTTGGGATCCTATAATAAATAAAATTAAATCCCAACCCAAGCATACAACTGCAAGACTCCATGATATCATAAGTTCATACTGTGTAGATCGGAACAAAAGTTAAATTTTAATCTATGGTAACCGCGGTTAACTATGACAGCTGGACGTTGAACATCTCAGTCCTTTCCGTGACCATGGGTGCTGTAAAGCTCTCGAAACGTCGGGTATTTAAAAAGTTAAATATACGCGATAAATTCCGTAAAAACTAGTATTATTTTAATGCTGTTGTGTTTCGTATGGTGAGTGTAGAGAACCGGATACCCTTTTTACTGAAAACGAGGCATTTCATCTTAGTCCTCACGGGTGACAATGCATCTGCATTTTGATTTGCAATCGAGGATAGATGTAGATGTCTATCTGCCGCAGCAACCACTTACCATCAGGTCGACAGTGTGCTCGTTTGTCACCCTATCCAATAAAAATGCTCATCTCTTATTTTAGTTTTTCTCTGTCGCCTTCTATGATACATTGCAGTCCAAAAACATTATGGTTGACTTTGTGAAATCCAATTGTATTAATAAAGATTAGTTTAAAGAACTTGAAAGATGCTACTTCAGAAGTAGTTGAAGGTAAAGAAAACAGCACTAGTCTTCAAATTTCATAGTGAGCAAGTAGCAGCGGTGAGACTTAGTAGGCTGTAAAAAAAGTAAAATGTTTCTTATACTCAGATTCTCTTTTTACATATCAACAGATTCGGCCGCGGCTTGAAAACCCTAAATGATCTACTCAAACAAGCGAAAGCAGGCAAACCTATCAAAGAGGAAGATATTCCTCCGGCTGTAAGTTTGGGCAAGCCAGCCTCCGAGGCGCCAGCGCAGACTCCTCAGGACGAAGCTCCGGCTGCCAGGCCCCCGCCGCAGTCCCCTCCGCCCGCCTTACCAGAGCCTGTCGAGGTTCCCGAGGAAGCTCCGAAAGCTCCGGAGCCCGAAGGTCCGCCGCCCCCACCGCCCAGAGTTGAGTCCCAAGGAATAAGCCCGGAGAGACAGCAGGGATTGCAAGTTATCTTGAGTGAGTGTGTTTCTGAGTTTAAGACTCAGTCCCTAAAATAATTCGAGTATACTACCCATCATACAATACCGACTTCCTATAATTTCTACAGGAAAATTCTTTAATGCGGATCACCGAAATCCGTGTCTTAGTTAGGTTGTTGACACAATCTTTAATAAATTACCTGATACATCATATAACTTAAATTTGCTACTTTTCCACAGTGGCTCAAAAGTTGATTGGTATCAATTTTCCTTTTTAAATTGAATTCGATTTTTAATATTGAAAAATATACCAATACTCGTAGATAGCTGAAAAATAGTAACATATCCTTATCTGACAAGTTACCAACTCTAATTTTCTGAAAGAATTTTCTTTGGTAATGTTTGGTCGATTTTTTAAAAATTAAAAATATGAGTTTACATTAATTTAACGTAACAATGTATCAAAATTTATTAATTTTATGATGACAAAACCTACCATCATCATTATTATCGCAACCCACTGCTGAACAAATGCCTCCCTGAAAGATTACCACAAAGCTTGATCCTAAATGATCAGCATCCGTTGACTAGACAGGACTTTCCAAGTCGACAATTGTCCGTGTCCTAGATCCATAAGGTCAGTACTGACAATACATACTGGTTGTACATTTTTTAAGATTTGAAAAATACTGGGAGAGTAAGTAGATGATGTGTTGTAATTTTTCAAACACTGCCTAGCAGTTAATTGATCTTGTGGTCAAAGTTGGCTTACGAAAACGTCTTTCACTGCATTTGTGAATATATACGATATTTAGTTTGGTAAGGTATTTTTTTCTTATATTTACGCGAACACTACACATTAAATAAAACTATTTGTACGGATTTACAAATACAAATAAATGTGTAATTATTAACTTCAAAATATATGCAAATGATTAACATTAAATAACTCACTTTTTAATAATGTATTAATATATTATATAAATATTTATATTATGATAATGTCCCATGACTATGATGTGTTTTAATTAAATTTTTAATCAAAAATAATAAAATATTGTTACAAAACTTCTTGTTTTATTTTTACCTATTAAAATTATTAAGGAATAACATGGCACTTATATAGATACAATATGCAGGTATTTGTATTTCAAAGTTGTCATAATACATACATACACTTTCATCATATATACAAGTCATGAAATTATTTTCTTAATTCCTTTGAAAGGAAAAGCTTGTTTTGTTCTATCAGATTTTACATAACTAAAAATAAAATATTACTGAGTAGTATAAATGTGGGAAAAAGTCTTACAGATGTGTGATCACACCGAATATCAGAAAGAGACGCATTACTACTTTGGAGCTTATCATTCGTCTCCTTTTTATTTTTGTCTTAGTGGTTTTTGGAAATTTGTTGTGAACTTTTCGAAATTACAACGGCGTAAATGCCAGTACATATTACACTCATTTATTCCAACTTAGAAGTATTTCTAATCGACACTTCACAGCCAAATTGTTAGAAAGTATTGTACGGTTTCAATGTTAAAATCTGGTATGAATTAGTTTTGCCGTGTTGCGGCGGCGTAAGAGAATGGATCATATATGTCGGTCCGTCGTAAAAGGTGACTCTGGGAAATGCTAGGAAAGATTATGGTGTTTGACAGATGGCGGTATAACTATCTCTTTTTGTCAGATGTAGTGTACCAAGACAGGCGATAAGAAGCGTCTAAAGTACGAGATGTCTGATGCTGCAATCGTCATTCTGCTTGCTGAGAGTGATGACTAAGACAAATCTTATCTACAACGGTAGAGGTTGTTCCCCAGAGCTTTATGACGCTAACGAGTCAATAAAGGAGAAGAATGATAATTTGCGGGTATTCCGAAATTTATCGGAGGGTAAAGATAATTTTTCTATTATAACAGGGAGTTAAATATCACTCTAATTCTGGATGAAATTGACAGAAGGGAAGGGGAAGAAGGGGGGAATCAAAATTTAATGTTGTTCATATACATTTATTACATTATAAAAACAAAGAGTTATAACATATGATTTCATAACAATAAAATGTTTACAGAACGCAAGGAAGAGTTCAAAGCGGCGGCGCTCTCTTGTAAACACGCCGGCGACAAGGCCCTAGCACTTGAATACTTGAAAGTGGTGAAACAGTTTGATGTAGTAGTGGAGGCCTACAAATCCGGGCATGATATGGATCTGAGTGAACTGCCAACGCCGGAGGCTATTGCTGCCGCCTTTAAGTCGCCGCAAAAAGACGAGCAAGATATTCAAAAGTCAACAGGTACAGTTTTAAAGACCAGAAAATCGAAAGTTTAATTTAATTAAATGTTGATTTATTATTCGTGTAGAAGGTAATTATTTGATATTTAAGTACGTAACTATTTAACTTTTTTTTTAAATATTATTTTACCATCTAATGTTTGACTATGAGATGACTTTGTGACGTCGTTTTAGACAGGAAACCGCTGAGCTTAGTAAATGCCTATTCATTCACCTCACCTACATTGTGTTCGAACGTGAAAACTGACGCTGCCAAATTATTCAAGACGAATGAAATGCTTAGTCAGTCAAAGCTAAATAAAACTAAAGCAAAGTCTAGCTATATTATAGTCTAAGCTGTATTATATTTAATTCATTTGTGGTGAAGTTCCCAACTGAAGAAAGAACATTTACCAAAAGGTGTTGTGTACCGATATGCACGCAGCAAAACACTACGCCTATAGCACGTGTACAGTAATAGTAAGGCGTTGGCTACGCTAGAGCGACTGCGGGCAGCGGAGGCAGCCTGCGGAGACGGGAGGCGTGAAGACGCTGCGCCTTGCCACGTTAAGGCGGCTGCATGACTTGTGGTTTCTTCCTGCTATTTTTGCGCGGGCAAAAATTTTTTTAGAAGGGAGTTTTTTTGCACAAGATATGATGCAAAAAAGGAGTTTAAATCATTAAACTAAAACAGGCATCAGTTTGTTGAATATCGTGGACTTGTGATGAAATACGTTAATTACCCACAAAACTTTTGTGAAATATAATATTATGCATATAATTTTCATGCTTACTAGACCATATTGCGGACTGAGACATTATTTCGCTAATAAACAAACGTCTTCGTATTTATATTTTGCATTGCGGAAAAATCAACACGTTTTGAGTAATATACGCAAGACGCGCGAACGCGTACTATGTCCTCCGCTGGTCGCGGTCGCTTGACACACGCGCCAACGTGGCACCTACCGTTCGTCTCGTATTGTTATTTTTCTGCTCATCGCAGAGGCAAGACGCGTCGCGCTAGTTTTATTAGCGTGGCATACGACTAAACAGTGAGTAGTGATTTATTAATATATAATTATGTATTATTTTATAAGATATATTTGTATTTACGTTTGTGTATACACACCTTTTTTACCTGGACTGGAGTAAATAAATGAAATAAATATTGAGAGGGTTATGGAGTAATTAGTTGGTTGCGCTGCTTTAGTGTGTGTTGGCTCACTTACTTTGCCTCGAAATATCTTAAAGGTTGTTCGAGATGCGGATGAAGTACGGTCTAGCATGGGCTTTTTGATTTTAAATATCTAACAACTATTGTAGAATCAAAGCCTTACCCGTCTCAAACGTGGCTCTGCTCAGCGCTATTTGCATAAACCATCTATTTAAACGGTACCTAGGAATAAAACTTTGGTTAAATTTAGGTATTGTTTCTATACCTACCTATGTCCTACCCAGGTTATTTGTTTATCATAAGTTAGTATTATTTGTTTTTTTTTGCACTTCAGAAGCTGCTTCTCCCGAACCAATACCTGAATCCACGGGCTTAATAGCAGCATCTACTGTAGGTGAAGCTTTGAAGCAAAGACTTGCGGCCTTTAAGGTAATCATTTTAAGTCAGTAATAAAATATATGTACTTTGAAGTTTTAACAATTTTTTTCTTCTTGTTCTTGCTCATCAGCACGTAACTGCCTATTGTTTGTCTTACAGATGAGATTTTTCCTCTAACTTTTAATTTAATTTGAATAATTAATGAATAAATATCATTTTTGATTTTAATATTTCATTTTTTCAACTGCATCGGCATCAGTATAGGTATCGCCAGTTACTTATAACGACTTAACCGATCATGACTAAAAAGACCATGATTTAATACATTTTCAAGTTTGTATATAAAATAAGCTACATTTCACTTTTAACTTTGAGTATAATATGTATTATCTGTCTATGCTTTGAACTGCACAAAAACATAAATATTTTATGTACCAAATATAAAGATAACGATTTTATCCTTTTACACTCCACCGACTATTAAAAATAAACATTAAAAATTACATAAAAATTCACAGCTCATTCAGTCAATCTGTCAGTAATTATTTTGTTGGCAACATTTAAAAAATCTTTGGCGATAATTTCTACTCTGTGTGACTGTTTGACCATAGATTATTGTATGTTTGATAATTGACATTGGCAGTATGAACGTAAACAATGAATGTTTCAATTTATTTCATGTATTTATTATAACATATATTGTACGTAAATGTTAGCTTCCCTTAATATATGAGGTGATTCATGAAGATTTTTAACTTGTAGTTGTGATGTAATTTTATTACATCACAACTACTACAAGTCAAAAATCTTTTAATATCTAATATCAAAATATCTAAAATTTAATACCTTTGTTGTCAAAATAAAAATAAAAACGCTTATTTAATTTCTTATCACAAATAGTTTAAATGTAAAGGAGGCGAGAGAGGTGTGTCAGAATCGTGCTAAATGGAGGTCTGTAGTTTCTGCCTATCTCTTTGCACGAGCGTAAGTGTTCATATTTAGTTTGGCATCGTTACAGGAACAAGAAGCTAAGGCAAAGGAGGAAGGCAACTCGTCGAAAGCGCGTCGTATGGGTCGCATCGTGAAGCAATACGAGCAGGCGGTGAAGCTGCACGCGGCTGGGAAGCCTCTGCAGCTGGACGAGCTGCCAACTCCCGCGGGACACGCCCCCTTCCCTACGGAAAATGTACGTGCAGATACACCATGCCATACCATACCATGGATGTAGTGTATATGAATAAATATATTTCCATACTTGCCTCGGAACACCTGTGGCGCGGTATAATGAAGGGGACCGACTATACCTTTAACTATAAATGACGATCGGTCAGTTATTGCGGAGCAACTGTAGGAGAAAGATCCGTACGTGTATGTAGGAGAGCCTATTGAAGAAGTTAGTGAAAGTTAATAGTGAACATTACAATTACCATTTCATCCAAAAAGTCCACTGCTGAACATAGGCCCGCCTTATAGAGGGATATTTTACGTATTTGCATCTCCTGGTCCAACTTGAGGTTTATAGCGCTATAGTGCTATGGCGGATACTTACATATCACGCGCTGTGCGCTATGTAAAGATAGCGCGCTATAATATGGCGCTATGCGCTATAGTAACCCCCATTACTACTTTGGTCTGAAATTGTTATTGTGGTCGTAAATGCGACTTCAGATCATGAGGTTGGGTCCCCCCCCACCCCCCGGAAAGCACATAAAGCTGTTGGTCTTGCTCTGATCTCTCCGGTCGTGTAGGACTGCCGTCCCATCGGTTTATGAAGGTAAGGGAACAGAGTGCATCTGTGTTAGTACACACACTCGGGCATAATAATCCAGTCCTGTGTAGATGGCTAGCCTCAGTTGAGACTGGACGCTGTGACCGTAATTTGGTCTGAAAAACTTTATTATTATTATTTAATTCTTAATTCGTTGCAGACTAGTACGCCGCCGGCCCCCTCCCCACCGCGACCAGCGCCCGCTACACCCCCCTCCGCCTCCGCCCACACAACTGCACCCTCCCCATCCCCATCACCCTCCCCCTCCTCTATCGGCACCCCCATCGCGTCCCCTTCGCGCTACTCAAAGCAGCTGGCGCTGCTACAGGTGCGACAAAAGCAGTTCAAGGAAGCCGCGCTCAACGCCAAGAAGAATGGTATGAATAATTTTCGCTTAAATGCTAAGTGTGTTCTTAGTGTCTTATTTATCTTTTTTTTACTTAAGTTTTTTCTTTTTGTTCTTTTTGAACCTACCGTTGAATTAGCTATAAATAATAAATATTTAATTTGACATAAACTAAACTAACAAATTTAACTAAAGAATTTTAAATATTTATTTATTCTTTATTTGCACACCAAGTACAAAAAAGCGGACTTAATGAAACAAGGCATTCTCTACTACCAGTCTACCTCCAGGCTAGGCAGAGAAGATATTGATTGTAGGTGCAAAGTGCAACTGAGTTAAAATATCTATGAATAGTCATACACATTATTACGACAGATATTATACACATATTATAAACATATATAAAATACATACAATATATATATATATATATATATATATTTGCTTATACACGATAACTGCCATGTCGGACAATGCTGCCCGACATCAAAATTTCCTCTCAGGCCAAGCAAAAATTACAGTTCTGATAAAATTTTACCAATTTATTTTTTATTAATACGTTTATTTTATGTCTTAAAGTATGTGAAAATTATCAAAAATTGATTTTGTGTATTATTTAAGCAGTTATACGATGTCGGTCATCATTACCCGACATGGCCCCTAGCGACGTAAAAGCGAGTTTTCCGTTGCAAGGGGCCGCGCTTGATTAGTCAATTGCAAGCGCTTGCGCATGACTGACTGTTTACGTTAATACGCTAATTTTATTAAGTTTTGTGTATTGTTTATTCTTTTAAAACGTCTATTAATATTTATTATACCTATTTCATCATGGATGATTTCAAAGATTTCGATATTAACAAGAAATGATGACTCAGATCGAACAAATTGAATTTGATCTTCTCGAAAAAACTCTTAACTTTTGTTCTGACGAAGAAGAAAATATTCAACCTCCCCGATCTGAATACAGGCGCCTGCAGATTCTATCTTCTAGTGATAGCGAGAGTAAAAACCGTGCCACGAAAGATGAGACTTGACACATCACGTGGTTTGAGTTGCGCATTAGTCGATTTATCGGTCTCTTTAGCGGTATGAAGTCTGAGGCGGGAAGGGACCAGGCGTCATCGGCGCCGCTCATTCATATTAGTTGCTTCCCGCTCTCCGCGCCCCGTGCACTTACCGCTTGACTCCGCAAGTACAGACAAGTGCAACTTGTGTTTATAAATTTCTACTTTGTTTATAGTTGTGTTGTTCTATACGAGTGAAACTTTGTGAAATCTTGATTATGCCTCGAGGTAAAACATTAAGACGACAAAGTAGGAAGATGGTTTACGACGTGTACACCTATATGTCAAAAAAGAAGCAAAGGAAGGTGTACAAAATTTGAAGCAGGTACAAATGCGTACAGCGGCCGCAACTAGAACATCATTAATTACAGTAAAAAGAATTGTGAAGGAAGGAAACAGTTCCGAGTTACTACCAATTTTCCGCACTCCCGGAAAAAAAAGGTCAAGACCCAAACTTTTAACCGACATAGATGACTTTGACAAAGGAGTGATAAAAAGATGTGTTCACAACTTCCATGTTACGAACAAGGAACTGCCGACCCTTAATAAAATTTTAGCGAAGTTGCGTGATGATATTGCCTTTCGCAATTGCAATGCAGTGGACGATGTGAATGACAAGCTCGTGGAAACTGTCCATGCGGTCGGAGCTAAGTTCTGCAAGACCCGCCGCAGAAGAACACAAAAACTCTCCGATCACACTCTTAATCTCATGGCTGTTAGACGGGAGATGAGGCTGCAATCGTCAACAGATTTGACAGCATACAGGCAACTGAACAGACAGATCTCCAAATGCATGCGGCGAGACTTACGCAACTTTAATACTGCTCGTATTAAAGAAGCGATCGAGCGGAACCAGGGCTCCAAAGTCTTTGCCAGAGATCTGTCTGCCCGTAAGAGCCAACTGTCAAGGCTGAAGACTGAGTGTGGCAGCATCGTTTCCGGGACACCTGAGATTTTGAGTGAGATTGAGAGGTTCTATGGGCAGCTGTACACATCATCGTTGGAGCCACACGCAAGTGTGAGTAACGATCCAAGAGCAAGTCTTATCCGACACTATTCCGATGATATCCCGGACGTCAGTCTAAGCGAGATTAGAATGGCTCTCCAGCACCTTAAAAACGGCAGGGCCCCAGGCGAGGATGGAATTACAGCGGAGCTTCTGAAAGCGGGTGGAACACCGGTACTTGAAGTCCTTCAGAAGCTCTTCAATTCCGTCCTCCATGGTGGCACTACTCCAGAGGCGTGGAGCAGAAGTGCGGTGGTCTTGTTCTTTAAGAAAGGCGACAACGCTCTCTTGAAGAACTACAGACCGATTTCCCTTCTGAGCCGCGTCTACGTCCTGTTTTCGAGAGTCATTACGAATCGTCTCGCACGCAGACTCGACGACTTCCAGCCTCCCGAACAAGCCGGTTTCCGAAAAGGCTTCAGTACCATAGACCACATACATACCCTGCGGCAGATTTTACAGAAGACTGAAGAGTACAATTTGCCACTTTGCCTGGCGTATGTGGACTATGAGAAAGCCTTTGATTCCGTCGAAATTTGGGCGGTGCTGCAGTCCCTTCAGCGGTGCCAAGTTGACTGTCGGTATATCGAAGTGCTGAAGTGTTTGTACAGTAGGGCTACGATGGCTATCCGAGTACAGAACCAGAGCTCGAAACCTATCCAACTGCAGAGAGGTGTAAGACAGGGTGACGTTATATCCCCGAAACTCTTCACCGCTGCTTTGGAAGACGTTTTCAAGCTACTGGACTGGAAAGGATACGGTATTAACATCAATGGCGAGTACATCACTCACCTTTTTTTTGACCGATTTGCCGACGATATAGTCCTTATGGCAGAATCGCTGGAGGACTTAAGCACTATGCTCAATGACGTCAATAGTGCCTCCCAACGGATAGGTCTTAAGATGAACATGGACAAAACAAAGATCATGTTTAATGTCCATGTCACACCTATGCCGGTAGTTGTTGGGAGCACTATGCTCGAAGTTTTTGACGAGTACGTTTACCTGGGACAAATAGTCCGACTAGGTAAGTCCAACTTCGACCGAGAGGTCAATCGACGGATTCAACTCGGCTGGGCAGCGTTCGGGAAATTACGACACATCTTCTCGTCAGGTATACCTCAATCTCTGAAAACTAAAGTGTACAACCAGTGCGTGTTGCCAGTGATGACTTACGGATCAGAGACGTGGTCCTTCACTGCTGGCCGTATGAGGACGCTCAAGGTCGCTCAGCGAGCTATGGAGAGGGCTATGCTCGGAGTTTCTCTGCGTGATAGACTCAGAAATGAGGATATCCGCAGTAAAACCAGAGTGACCGACATAGCCCAATGGATTAGTAAGCTGAAGTGGCAATGGGCCGGCCATATAGCTCGAAGAACCGATAACCGATGGGGAAGAAAGGTTCTCGAGTGGCAGCCTCGTACCGGTAGGCGTAGTGTAGGGCGACCCCCCACTAGATGGAGTGACGACCTGGTAAGATATGCAGGAAGTCGATGGATGCAGGTGGCTCAGGACCGTGCTTTGTGGCATTACTTGGGGGAGGCCTATGTTCAGCAGTGGACTTGTGAAGGGCTGTGATGATGATGATGATGATTGCCTTTCGAGGTTCTAAAACAAGTCTACGCCGCATTTTTAAAGACCTTGGTGTTCGATGGAGGAGGACCGAAAATAATCGAAAAATTCTTATAGAAAAATCCAATATCAGACTGAAAAGAATTGAATATTTAAAAAAAGTCAGAAAATATCGCCAAGAAGGCCGTCCTATTGTATATACTGACGAGTCAGTCTTACGTGTATACCACGCATATTACCTCCAAATCTTGGTCTGATAATTCAGATAAAGGGCTCAAAAAACCAATATCTAAAGGTCAGCGCGTAGTTATTGTACATGCTGGATCTGAAAGTGGTTTCATACCAAACGCTTTACTGACTTTTAAATCGGGGTCAAAAACGGGTGATTACCATGACGACATGAATTACGAAAATTATCAGAAATGGCTTCGAACCCAGTTAATACCCAATCTTCCACCAAATGCCGTCGTGGTAGTTGATAATGCCCCGTATCACAATAAGGAGTATGAATCTGCACCAAGCTCAAATACCAAGAAAGCTGATATGCAATCTTGGCTAACCCAAAAAGGAATTCCCTACACTCCAGATATGCTTAAACCACAATTGTACAAATTGATAAAAATACATAAAGATCAATATAAGACATTCATCATCATTCATCATCATCATTACAGCCCTTCACAAGTCCACTGCTGAACATAGGCCTCCCCCAAGTAATGCCACAAAGCACGGTCCTGAGCCACCTGCATCCATCGACTTCCTGCATGTCTTACCATGTCGTCACTCCATCTAGTGGGGGGTCGCCCTACACTACGCCTACCGGTACGAGGCTGCCACTCGAGAACCTTTCTTCCCCATCGGTTATCGGTTCTTCGAGCTATATGGCCGGCCCATTGCCACTTCAGCTTACTAATCCGTTGGGCTATGTCGGTCACTCTGGTTTTACTGCGGATATCCTCATTTCTGAGTCTATCACGCAGAGAAACTCCAAGCATAGCCCTCTCCATAGCTCGCTGAGCGACCTTAAGTGTAAGACATTCAGCATTGACAAAATACTATCTGAACACGGTTATGACGTACTGCGATTACCTCCATACCACCCAGATTTAAATCCAATCGAAATGGCTTGGGCTTCAATAAAAGGTTATGTGAGTAGTAAGAATGTGCAATGGAACCTCAAACGTGTGATAGAGTTAGTAACAGAAAAGGCAAGCCAAATGGGACCAAATGAATGGAAAGCTCTATGTGATAAAACAAAAAAAAAATTGAAGACTTTTACATAGAAAGTGATCACATAATAGACAATTTGACGGATACGGAGATAATTATCAGACTAGGAGAAGATTCGTCAGACAGCGACTCAGGGGACTCAGGTAGTTGCTCATCGTC